CACACACACACACACACACACACACACACACACACACACACACACACACACACACACACACACACACACATGACTGCAACACAGCAACATCCTCATGTTCAGCCTGTTGCTTCCGTGCCAGGGTGCAGGATGGCCAGGAGCAGACACACACACACACACACACACACACACACAAACATGTAGCACACACACAGACACACACAGCCACACATAGATACACACACAAACACATCTTTAGATACACACAATCACACATGGACAATTAATAGACGTGGAAAAGACAAGAACACTTTGCACAATCAGCACAAGGAAAATAGACAAATGGATCACATTGAGGAGGGAGAGGAGGAGGATCAGCACAAGGAAAATAGAAAGATGGATCACATTGAGGAAGAGTAGTATTTGGAGAAAGAGTAGGTTCTGCAATCCAAGCTGCTACCACATCAGATCGAAGCTGAGTTGGAAGCAGCTTGGATCATAGTTGATGCCATGTCAAATTCTATCTGATGGGCCAGTAGCTTGGATCACAGCTGCAATCCAAGCTGGTGCCATGTCATATCCAAGCTGACATGACATCGGCTTAGATCAAACTGATGCTATGTCAGCTTCCATGTCAGATTCAATCTCACCTGACAGCAGCTTGGACTGCAGCTGCTGCCACATCAACGTAGGTTACAACGGGATCTGAAATGGAGAATTAAGACGAGGTGGCATAGGAGAAGGAGAAACAGCAGGAGGAGGAGGAGGAGGAGATAAGAGGTGCACAAACTAATGAGGACTTAAAAAAACAGAATGAGGGTGGACGACAAAGCGGAAGAACTAAAACAACAGACTCGGGGATACAAGCTAAACACGTTGGCCGAAACCAGGAATATCAGAGCTCCATGTGATCCAAGTTGACGCAGCAGCAGGTGTAATCCAAGTTGCTGCAATGTCAGATGCAAGCTGACATGAGAGCCACTTGGATCACAACTACTGCCACATCTGCTTCGATCTGTAATTCCTCAAATTTTGAAAACTCCAATGCCCCCATAGTGTTGAAGAGACGTTAAGCCGTAATGTCCAGCAGGTGAAGCTCCCAACCAATTGAACACAACCCTCAAAGAGCAAGGCTCCATTTCAGGAGGTTCCCTGAACTAACCCTGGATAGCAAACTTGCATGCAAAAGCTTAGCTTAAAAAAAAAAAAGAAAAAAGGGAGGAATAAACAACATACCCCTAGATTGCAGAACCTCCAACGACATCTCAAGG